GGGGGGGGGGGGATATAAATAAAGTGAATGATAAACAAGACGGAAGGCCGATGCCAGCTCAGGGAACCGAGCGGGAGAGCCGGCAGCGGGGATCCTCTCGGCACATGGCCGGTGCCGGCAGCAGCCGCGGCGGTGCGGGGGAGCCGCTCCCTCCCCGCCCCGCGCCCCGGCGCCAACGGGGCCGCCAATGAGGGCGGTGCGGAGCAGCGCGGCCCCCCCCCTCCTCCTTCCCCGCTTCCCCCCCTTCTTTCCCAAAGCCCCGCACCGGGGCTGCACGGGTAGAGACGCGTGAACGCGGTGCCCCCTTCTTTCACCGCACGCCGCCGCCGCCGCCGGGTCCTCCTCTACCTTCTCCTCCTCACCTCGCTGCGGGGGGAGGGGGGTTGGATACAGAGGGATGGAAGCCCTCGGTGCATAGAGACGGGAACCCCTCTGCAGAGCTTGATGTCTCCGCACAGAGCGCGGTGGTCCCGCACGGATCCTCCATCCCAGTGCTGGCACATCCTAACCCCTCTATACCCAGCAAGGGAAAAGCATCAGGATCAATCCCTCTGCCCTCCCCGTGCTCCCCACTTAGCCCCACAAGCATCCCGTGGCTTCTCACACGTTACACGGCTTTGTCCCACGCGCCATTCACCAGGAGTTAACGCTGAGGTTTTGGTAAGAGCCGCTCCCTCCCGTTTCCCTTCCCAGAACCACCCCAGCGACTCGGGGAGCCCCATCCTCAGACCCCCTCCCCTCCCCCCGGCGCTATAGCTCTGAGCACACCGCTCTCTGCACGAGCAGAGGTGGCACAGAATTACATCCTCATCCGAGTGGCCATCAAAGAGTGGAGAGGGAAAAGGTTCTTGTGTCCCAAGCCGAAAACAAAAGCATTTGGTAACAGAGAAAAGCTGTTGCTTGGAGCCAGTCCTCAGGCAGGTGGGCTCCCCTGGGGGCTGTTGTTGCTGCTGTCCCTAACACTGAACTTCGTGTTTCCTTTTGGCCCTCTGCTACTTGTCCTGTCCTTCTCAGCTGATGGAACAATCAGTCTCTGGTCCTCTCACAGCACACCTGCTCTTTTTAAGATGCTGTCGCTTATAGCACTCTTTTAATCTATAGAGAGGGAAACAGTTGTATTTAATTAATTGCTCCCTAAATAAGCTAATTACCGCCAGTAATTTCAGCACACTTCGCATGCAGTTCAAACTCCTGAGCAGGGATCTGAGCACAAGTCTGACGGTGAGAAATGAAAGCAAGGGGACAACAAATAGTTCAGCTTTGGAAGGTCCACTTCAGACCATCACTGTTTAATTATCACAGACCTCGCTGGTTAGCATTGAGCAGTCCATACCATGGTTCCTTTTCAGCTCTGCTTCAAGGTTGCTTGGACTTTGCGCAGTATATATTGGAAAGCTATGCCAAGAAAACACAATTTTAGCTTTTTATTACTTTTATGGGTCAAACATCATTGTCTAGCAATTTATCACTGCATCTTTGTTTGGAAACGTGAAAGATAGAGGCTCGTTTTTGGACCATTCATTTCAGTTTCTGTGCTCGTATCTCAGCATGGAAATAAACAGCCTCCTTTCTTCCCAAGTGCTTTTATAATGAATATGTCAAAGCGATTCTTCACTGATCTGAACCCAGGACAGCAGCAAGGAAAAGCAATGTTACAGCAAGGACTTAGCGAATACTTGAGCTGCCTTCAGCAAGTATAGATCCTATTTTGTGGAACTCGAACACCAGATCCGTTTCTCTAAAAGCAGCCCTGCAAAGATCAGCTATCGAACCTGCAAAGGAGAGAAAGGTTTTCATGGCATATTTCTGCAGCCTGCTGTGAGCACAGCCTCACCGTGCCAGGGGCTGAACGAGAACAGGGTGCAAAGAGCTGGAATCCCGCAGACTTTGCAACAGACATTTTTGCAGAAGGGAAGTGCTAATGAGGAGCTGCAGCATGGGAGCCAGTCGCAAGCCTCGAGAGCTGGCCACAGGCCAGTGACAACTTGCATTGGCTCTCCTTGCCGTTTGGAAGGGGTCCTGTGCCTGCCAAGGCTGTGGGATAAACAGAGCAGCAGCAGCCAGGAGCCAAACCATTTGTAGGCTTTAAGTAAGGTGCACACGTTGTAAGCAGCTGCTTCCCCCCAATGCCTCCATTGGTGTATGCACAGCGTAAGTGCCCTCCTGCATCCACACTGCATCCTCATACCTGCCTCAGGGTTTCGGATCAAACTGCCCAGGAATATCACATGATCTGCATCATTCAGCATCTGAACAAGGCATTTTTCCCCTCCTCCTTCCCCAAGGTACTGCTCACAATGTGCTGCCATCAGGGAGGAGCAAGCTCAAGCCTGTCACATGAGTGACAACTTCCTTCCAAACGTGGCTCCATTTGACCCTTGGATTACGTGGCCACCAAGCAGAACCAAAGCTGGATACAGCTAAAGTCATGTAGGACAAATCTGTAGTGGAGCCCCTAATTTGAATTATTCATGTATTTAATACTTATCCACTAATCTACCCTTTATTATACCTTCTGCTAACTCTCCTGTTACAGATATCAATGGCTATGGGAAAAGCTGTGAGGAGAGCTGGCAGCAGGGAGCAGAGCCATGCAGAAGGGCTTTGGGGCTTCAGGGAAGGGAGCTGGAAGGCTATGAGGTGACCACAGGAGAGGGCCAAGGATGGCAAATGGAAACTCATCTGATCCTGCCTGGAGCATCTTTTGCAGGGACACATGAATCTGTGTTACAATGCGTGGAGAAGGGTATTGCAAAGCCACTTTATTTATGGTACTTTTATTGGCAGGGGAGTGGGAGTGCAATACAATTTTAGCCACTGTGATGTCTCTATCTCCCTTACATTCCACCTCCATTTCTAGAGCCGTTTTTGCTCTGAATTACACAATTTCTCCAACTGCACAAAGGGACTTGCTGTACCTGGCATGGCTCAGCCTTGCTGGATGAGGAGAGCTCCAGCAGCTGAGTGCAGGTCTCCAGCATCACCGGCCCCATTCCCCTCCCTCTGCAGGCAGCAGAATCCCATCCCATAAGGCAGCAATAGGGCTGCATGGCACTCAGCTCAGACGTGCTTGAGCCTGGAGAAAGGCACAATTCACACCATGGTCTGAGGGGAGCACATGAGGGAACCTCCAAGAGCTACGGAGCCTGGGACCACCATGATGTCAGTTTGGTTATGCTCCAGTTCTCAGATCCAGCTCAAATCTCTCCCACCTCCCACTGGCACCATCCACTGCATCGCACAGCCCTGTATAAACAAACCCAGCGAATGCTTTTGTCTCTTCCTGTCCTTCTCAGATATTTTGGGTATTTGTGGCAATCTCTCCTGTTTATATAACAAAGCCACAGCCCAGTGTCTGTGGCACCATATCCATGGTAACCCTAATATAGCATGCACAGGCAAGTAGGATTTCATTAGGTGGCTCAGCTGTGGCAGTTTGTGGGGAGCAGCAGGGATGGAATGTCTCTCTGGTGCAGGGACCTGGCTGCCCACCCACATCCCAAGGGGAAATGCTGCTCTTTTTTGTTAGCTGTGGCCTGTCCCTGCTCCCACATCACCCCATCGCCGTGCCGCGGTGCTCGTTGCAACTCATCCTCCTCACCTTTCATGCTGCAAAGGGCTGCAGGTGTTCACCCAAGCTGCTCAGGATCCTCCAATGGGAGCCACGAAGCTGAGGTTCATTTCTGCCTCCAGTCTGGGGAGATTCCTCCAGTGGTGCAAGAGGGAGTACATTTGGTCCTGAGGAAAATAAAAAATTAAAAATAGATTAAAAAAGGGAAACACCTTAGGGGAAGGCAGGAAAAGCTGGGAAGAGCAGAGGCTCTGCAAAGGTGATGCTCTCATTTGCAGCCCTCATGCTGTAGGACACAGACAGGCACCAGGAGGAGGAAATGCCTTTTCCCACCCACTGCTGATGGGTTATGGGCTCCTCTGAGCATCCTGCCTCGGCCAGCACCCACGTTAGCTGTTGAGTTAAATAACGACTGTCTCTGGCAATGGTATGACACAAACCCAAGGGCAAGAGGTGGGTCTGTCCAGAGAGGGGAATCAAGCAGAAATCCGTGGGACCCTCCTCACCCCTGTGAGCATCTCTCCTATATGCCAGACCTCTCTGCCACCCCATTGGAGCCAGCCTGAGTCAGAGGCTGCTTAACCTCATCAACACCCAGGAAATCTGATCAGGGCAATGGCACAGGGCAGGATCTGGCCATGGACAGAGCCCCGGGGCACGGGATGCTGTGTGCGTGCTGCAGCCCAGCACAGCAGGAGCAGACAGCAGCCGTCCCTCTGTGCCCTCCCTCACCCTAATCGAATTTACATCCGTGTTAGCAAGGCAATGGATTATAGCTCGGAGGGGTGCTGCCTGCTTCAATCCTTAATTCAGCGCATCAGTTGTGCTTAAGCCTGCTTACCTGTAAGCAGAGCTGCTGCTGGGTTCAGACAGCACCTAGCATGGCCGAGCTGGTGTCTAAGGGACTGTCCATTAAAAAGAACCCTCCTCCAGGGGCTCAAGGCACTATGCAGGTATCCTCTGTGCAGTATTGCTCTCTTAGTTCTTCTTGCTGGGGTGGATGGAGAAGAATAGAGGAGCTCTGTGGAGGATACAGGATACTGCCATGCTAGTATCAATGCAACAGTGCTATGTGAGTTCCAGCAAGAGCTCAGCACTGGAGGAAAGCTGCTCTCTCTGTGCTCTGCTTTGAGGACAGGGGCTGAACATGCAGCCCTCCAGTGTCCCTCTCACCGACTGACATGTGGGAGTTGCTCTGAGATTGCCCCAAGCAGTCTGGGTGCCGGACTCAGCAAACTGGCATTGCTACCTCTAGCCTGAGTCTTAAAATATCCCCCAGAGCAAGACACAGAAGACTGAATCCTTGCTCTCTGTCTGGATTTACGGGCAGCAACCTGGGAGAAACTAAAGAAGGGAGAGATATATACGTATTATATACACATATTTTTCGTTCTCCTTAAGTAAATTCTCACTGCTTATCTCCAAAGTTCAGCTGTTTTCAAGCTGACCTGCCTGCCTGTTCCACTGCAAATTCCTTCTGTACAGGAAGGCTCAGGCGCTCCACTTGCCAGCAGCCTGGAGTTTCATCTCCAATAGAACTTGTTAGCTAAAGACCCCATCCCACCCCGCGCCGAGGATCATTTTTCTTCCTGCCGTGCTGACAGCTCAGCTTCTTTCCCCTTAGAATTAGGAAACAAAGCCAAGATGGGAGATGAAGCCAATGAGGCTGTGCTTGGAGGTTAGAAATGGGGCAAGGCACCGATCTGTTCTCGCAGCCAGACATCCACCCGAGGAGCCAGGGCTGGCACAAGAGGAGCATCCATCTGATGCTTTCTGCTGAGGATCTCAGAGCACAGCACGTCCAGGACTGAGTCCAGGAGCTTCGAGCACAGTGGGGATGCTGCTTCCAACTGTAGCGTGCAGCTGAGCTGAGTTGAGCTGTGCCCCTGGGGGGATGCAGCCCCCTGGCTGCTCCTCTCCTCCTGTGTCACAGTTGTGTAAAACATCACCAAGTGTGGCCGATAGGCACACACTGATGATTCATTAAAACACCTGGGGACTGAGCTTGACCTGTTTCCCCTCGTAGCTTGGAAATGCAGAGCTGCCCAATTGACTTTGCTGCAAGGAGCATGAGTGAAACCTGAGCTGTGAGGGGATGGAGGGGATCCTGAGCAGCACTGAGAGCATCGCTGGTTTTAGGAGCCAGCCTCAACAGAACAGGGCCACAAGCTCTGAGTCCAAATCAAGGCAGTGTGTGTGTGGATCTGAGAGCTTGAGGGGGTTCATGTGGAAAAATTAATAAACTAAGGAGAAGCAAGAAATGGGGCACAAAAAGTATCTTTAAGCAAAGAAGCAACAAAGACAGAGCCACGCTGGGGTGGAAGCAGAACGTGTTCCTGCAGGGAGCAGCCTGCAAGTGAGCAGCACTTCTCAGCCACTAAGGATGATTTAGGAGCGAATAACATCAGCCCAGTCGAGTTCAATTGCTATTGATAATGTCCATGTGCAATTAGGGCCAATTAGAGGGAGGCAGAGAATGACAAGTGTTTGGCCAGGAGGTGGGGGGCGGGAGTCTATTGGGGGGGTCAATATCACAATCCAATTTCCCCACAACCAAATGCAATTAAAGGACAGCACTTACCCAGCTCACCCAGGAGGGCCAGCACATAAATGGCAAAAGCCAGGAGGGTGGGTGCCATCCTGCCCAGCATGCAGACCCATGGCAGCACGCCGTGTCCCTGCCCCAGCTTCAGGCTGCGGGAGCTGGCGTCCATGTACTTCACCATGGTGGCTGTGTTCCTGGTCATCCTGGTGGTGGCCTTGCAGGGCTTGGTTCCCCGTGGCACTTATTTCCCCTACAAGGTGCCCCTCGATCCCCAGGGGCTGCTGGAGCTCTCATGGAACGTCAGCTACCCTGAGCAAGCCGTATATTTCCAGATCCTCATCAGGAAGCTCAAGTTTGGGCTCCTCTTTGGGATGTCGGACCGGGGTGAGTTTGAGAACGCAGACCTGGCCGTGCTCTGGAATGATGGTCACAGTTCATATTTTGGGGTGAGTTGTGTGTTTTTGTGACTGTGTTTGGGGTTGTTACCTGATGGGTGAATCTGACCACCATGAGTTTGGAGGATTGGGCACGGGGCATGGGACAAGGTCAAGATGGTTCAAAGGGGCTGCAGGGTTTCTGATCCAGACATTGATGCTATGAGCTTGGTATAGGATCTGAAAATGCAAAGAGGAAGGGATAAATACAACAGCACATCAGCATGGCTAACAGAGCCAAGCTCTGGGTGTCTGCTGCATCCGCAGGAGCTCCAACAGGTGGTTGCACCGAGCAGCTCTGCCACACACACACATGCAGGAGGCACCCACAGCTCGGTTCATTGCACGCTGCTGCCAGCAACATTAAAAATTAACCTGCAGCTCCCATTACTGACTTTGAGAAAGTGCAAAAGTTATCGAGCAGAAAGCCTGCTCCTGCCAGCGCCAATAAGCCGGCTGCAGCTCACGTCTGCAGCTACAGCAAAGATCAACAGGACGCAGGAAAACACAACCTGACGGCTGACTGCCAGCAGCGCGGCGTTATCAGAAATTAAACATGCAGAAGTATTTGGGCAGCTCGTAAATCCTGAAGGGAGCAGAATAGGAGGGAGACAACTCATTTCTAATTTTGCTCTTTGTTTCTGCTGCTGCAGATCGCTGCCCTTTCCTACGCTGCCCATCGTAGGCTCTTGGGTGGTTGGTCTTTCTGCTACAGTAACTAACCCTATGTTCTCCCTATCCCCAAACCACCCCGGTCACGTTGCAGTTGTGCTTTGCTGCAGAATGCAATTCATATTTTTTCCCCCATGTGAGGCTTTCCAGTACGTTAAATTTTACCTCTCTGCTTGCTTGAAATTAGCCATAAAACATATTCTTTTGCAATCAGCTGCGATGTGATCTGCAGCGCAATGGAAGGATAAAAGGGAGGGCTGATTATCTGCACTGTTTTCTTGCTAATTACCCACCATTCAGGATGTGGGATGACCTGAGTGCTACAGCATTTCACAGCACTGTGTTAAAAAACCATAAAGAATAATTCCTAATCTCGCTGAATGAGCACCATGCAGCATTTGGGCTTTCACTTGGTGCCACACAGCATCCTGCCAGGAGGTTTCTATAACCTCTCCAGACCCGGTGTTCTCCCTCCCAGCAGCTTTTCTGCTGGATGTCAGCTGTTAAAAGATCCAAATTTGCTCTGCCCCCCCATGTACTACAAGATTAATTTGCACAATACGCTCCTATGAAAACAAATGTCAAGCTAGCTTCATGGAGCTGATTTTACTCTCCCCCTCTAAGGACAATATGTTCTCAAAATACCACTCTATACTTTTGGCTGAAATGGTGCCAAGATGCTTTATTCTCTTTCTTCTGTTTCTTCCCCCAAGATAAGAGAAGCAGTGCCACTCACAGTGCTGCAGCGAGGTACTTCTTGGAGGCCTTTTCTTGGCAAACAAAAGCCATCAACAGGAGACGCAAAAGATCGAAATAATAACGCTGCTCAAATCCAAATTACAGAAGGATTTGTACTTTCAACCCTCAATCTTTCAGCATACGAGCACCATAGTGCTTTGCTTCTCGGTGTGGCTTTGTCACCACCATTAACCAGGTTAAAGAGGAGCGAGCCAAAGGAGGGTGATCCAGAGAGGGATGATTCAAAGGAGATGATCCAAAGAGGGCTGACCCACTGAGGGACCTTATGACCTGCACACCACTGGAGGTCCCCACCCTGAGCCCTAGGGCCACATAAGACCTGCTGCCTCCCCTCTTACTGGGTGCTCTCCCCCCACAGGATGCCTGGAGTGATGCCCATGGGCAGCTGCACATGGACTCCCAGCAGGACTACCAGCTGCTCGGGGCTCAGAAGGCCCCCGAGGGACTCTACCTTCTCTTCAGAAGAGCATTCAGCACCTGTGACCCCAAGGACTACCTTATAGAGGTACCCTCTCCCTGCTGCAGCACACTTGGCCCCATCTCAACCCCCATAGCATCAAGCAGAGCACCAACCTCCGACCTCACCACTGTTATGTTTCGTGGGGCAGCATCAGGTGTTTGTGCTGCTTAGAGCAGAAAGGAAGCATGCTACAGATGTCATGAGCAACGTTTGGCACAGTCTGTTTACAACCACTTATAAACCTCTATAACGTGTAGATTTTAGCTTGTTTGCATCACCCGCTCCTGCTGAGCATGTGTTAGGTCTATATAAATCCCTTCCTGCATCACTTGGGTTTGCAGTCTGCAGCCAAGCGTTACACTGAGATGCTGCTCAGCGGGAGGCAAATAGGAGGCTGCAGTAGGAGCTGAGCAAAGATGCAGCAAACAGACCCTAGGTCCAGCAGCACTTCCTCAGCCCACAACACTTTTAGCAGGGCCCCTCACTGTTCGCTCATAGATCATAGAACAGCTTGGATTGGAAGAGATCTTAAATGTTATCCACATCCATATCCAATCCCTTGCTGTGGACAGGCTTACCCTCCAGCCAATCTGGCCTTGGATGTCTCCAAGGATGGAGCATCCACAATTACTTTGGGCAGTGTAGCTCATTAG